GAGACACTCTGCCCTGCTCTCCCGGGACCGGCTGTGCGAGGACTCGGGGTGCTGCCCCTCAGCCCTCCCTGCCCCGGGCTGGGGAGCTCTGGCCAGCTGGGGCATGTTCCATGGAAGGGAGGCAAGGGGCAGGCCAGATGTGGAGTGCGCTGGGTTTGGCTCGGGCGCTGTGCTTGTCACCGGCCCGGCGGAGTGTGGGAGGAGTAGACATGATTGGAAAGGAAAGGGCGGTGGATGAGGATGGAGCACAGTGGAGCTTTAAATCCAAGTCTTCCCCTTCCTCAATCACCAGCTCCTAGTTTCTCCTGGGATTTTCTCACTCTCTTCACTTCTCTTTTGTTTCAGATGGGAGCAGGTGGTGGATCTGACATACTCCCTGCGCCTCGGAGCAAAACCCAGGCCCATGGAGCAGGATGAGGCTGCGGTAGAGAAGCTTCGGTAGGCACTGTTTCTCAGCTTTTGCTGTGGATGGGGACAATCCACTGTCTCTCCCTGGCTGCTCAGACAGCTCTCTCCTGCAGAGAGGAGAGGGAGGAAGACAGGTAGCTCTGTGTAGCACAGGCTTGTCCTAGATAAACCTGCAAAAAGCAGGAAACAGGGCAAGACAAGGCAAGCAGAATGTGAACCTACCTTTTTTCTGAGTCATTAGCCTGGCTGCCTCTAGCTCTCTAGACCTCTTAATCCCTTTTCCCTGGTAGGTTTGTGCCTCCAACATGGACTTATGAATGTGATGAAGACCTGGTGCATTTCCTGTATGATCACATTGGGAAGGAGGATGAGAACTTGGGCAGTGTTAAGCAGTATGTGGACAGCATCGATGTGTCATCCTACACGGTGAGTTAAAGGGATAAGGTTGGATTAGCCCTGCTGTGCCATGGGGCTGGGAAGCATGGATAGTGGTTACTGTGCTGCTCTGGGCTGTGTCTGAACATGTGGGAGAGAAGCCCTGAGGAGCATCACACAGCATATTGTGTAATGTGGCCCCCTGGAGTGGTTTGCGAAGCCAATGCTATTTTTAGCAGCTAAGCTGATTTTTGGGAGGGTTTGGTATTCTGTGCTGTGTGCGTGACCCCAGAGCACCTCAGAGGGTCAGCCCCAATGTTCTGTGTGCTCTGTACTCCCAGTGTACTCTCACAGCAAGTTTGATGCCCTCTGGCACCAAGATTCATGACAAAGTAACCACTAAAGGGAGGTTAATACTACATCCATCTGATCTTCCTTTCATCACTGCCCTCTTCCAGGAGGACTTCAATGTGTCATGCCTGACCGACAGCCATGCCGACACGTACTGGGAGAGTGATGGGTCCCAGGGCCAGCACTGGGTGCGGCTCAACATGAAGAAAGGCACCATTGTCAAGTGAGGCATCTCTCCTCTGCTCACTGGCTTGTGACTCACTGGGGCAAGCTCTGCTATCCCTCTCTCTGCCTGGGTCTGTCTTGGCCTAAGTTTGCCCTATGCTCCCTGCCCCTCAGCCCTCACTCTTGCTCTGGGCTTGAAGAGGTCTTAGCATTGTCATAGGCACCTGTGGATCCCAGCACCAGCTGCACGTGCTTGGTAACAGTGTGACCAGGCAATGAGGGGGAAGAGCGATGGGTGTTCAGGTGCAGTTACATTCTCTTCATGTCCTTTTTCCCTCTGCAGGAAGCTGCTGCTGACAGTGGACACCACAGATGAGAACTTCATGCCCAAGCGCGTTGCTGTGTATGGGGGCGAGGGGGACAATCTGAAGAAACTGAATGACGTTGGCATTGATGAGTGAGTGCATGGAGGTGCAGAGGGTAGTGTAGCCCTTGCAGGGACCAGAGGTGCTGAACACTCCAACCCTAAGCAGTCATGCAGCCCCAGCCAGGCTCTCCAAGCTGTGGGTTCACTGCCTGCTATAACAGACAGCACAGTCATCAATGCTCTCCTGATCTGATTGTGGGATACATAGAAATCGTGTCACCTGGCCATGAGCTGGGTCAGACATTGAGCTCTGTTGCAGGCAACTGGGTCTGGGTTTCTGCCACAGGCTCATTTCAAAAGTTGGAAACCCTCTTCTCTTACAAGTGTCTGAATGGATTTTGGCAAAATGGGTGAGGGAACAACCCTACAGCCCTCATCTGCTGTGTTTGCAGGAGCTACATTGGGGATGTGTGCGTGCTTGAGGACATGACAACACACCTGCCTGTCATTGAGATTCGGATTGTGGAGTGTAGAGGTAGGGCTGGCTGTCCTGGGCACATCCATAATGCACCTGTAAGATACTGTACGTTAATGGTTTGTTCTGTGATTTGTACTTCCTGTCCCTGCAGGCTGTTTCAGATGAGATGCCAAAGAACCATGGGAAAGTCCAGGGAGACCTGAAGTTTTGCAAGTTCTTAGCTTTCATTCTGTCTTTCTCTGCCTTCAATTTAATTTTTTTCTTCTGTAAATACCCTGCTTCTTCTTCCCTTCAGATTCTCAGTGCCCAGTGCCAGAGCTGGTGGAGCTGGTAACATTGCTAGTGCTTTTGCTTACTGGAAGGCTTGTTTTCCCATGGCCTTAGCATCCATGGTCTTCCTTGGCAGATGATGGGATTGATGTTCGTCTCCGAGGCATCAAAATCAAATCCTCCCGACAGAGGGACTTGGGGCTCAGTGCTGACATGTTCCAGCTGCCCAATTTAGTGCGCTACCCTCGCCTGGAAGGGACAGACCCTGACCTGCTGTACCGACGGGCCGTGCTCATTCAGAGGTACTGTATGGAGGAGCATAGACAGGTGGGGTGGCATTGCCTGCAGGGATTGGTGCCATCTCCAGCATGCATATAGCTGGAAACTGTAAAGCTGTGTAACTTCCCTTGGGCAGGCATCCTGGACACTGGAGAAAATAGCAGAGTCATTTGGGAACAAATTTGGCTGTCTGGGGTGACTGCCCTATGCTTTGAGAGGAGTTTTGCAGCTCAAGTTCACAGTGTAATGTGTGTCACAAGCACAGCATCTCTGTGCAGTGTGGGAGGCAGGTACATGCACAGTCCCTTATAAGGGCTGCAGGGTCTCTGCAGTGCCCAGGGAGTGGGAATTTAATACCAAAGGCTCAGTGACATAAAGAACTATTCTGGGTTTGGTTTGGATCAGTCATTATTTTTCTGCTTGTGTCTGGGGGTGCCTGGTCTGGAATAGACTTGTGCAGATCCTTGTCTCTCCTGTGTTGCGTTACCTTGTTCTTTGGGATTTAGGTTCATCAAGCTCCTGGACAGTGTCCTGCATCACTTGGTGCCAGCCTGGGACCATACTGTTGGCACATTCAGCAAACTCAAGGTGAGCAGTTCCCTCTGTGTCTTGAGGGGCCTCGGTCCAGCAGGGTGATTGGGCTTGGGCTGTGGCAAGGAGGCAGCCAATGCTTGTTGCCTTTAGAGCAGCTCAAGGCAAATACCTGGCTGAGCTCAGTTCATTAACACTGTGAAAGGTGATATTGTTTAGAGGTCAGTTTCCTGCTAAACCTCTGACGTAGAAGCATGTAGCTGTGGGGTAACAAGTAGAATCAAACCAGAACATTTCACCCTCAAAAGGATTTGGATCATAGCAGCACTGGGCATGCAAACTGGACACACATCCTGTCCAAGATCTCAGCCCAGGACATTCTGTTCCTGCACTTCCTGCCAGCAGCTTTGAGCTGGCTGTGTCCAAACAGCAAGGCTTTCATCAGTAACTGATTTCTGGCTTTAATAAGCTTTTGCTTTCCATCTTTCTCATAATGCTGATTTATCCCTCCAGTGGTCTGTTTTCCTTATATCCTCTCCCAGAATACACATGCTAGATGGTACTGGGATAGCCCCATTCTGTGTGTTTCCAGGCCTAGTGTAAGAAAGCACTGTAATTCTTGTGCCAGCTCAACATGGGACCCAAAGCATTTGAGGATTTTTCCTTGCTTAGAGGAGCTGGCTTTGATTACAAGTAGGAGGGGTAGTAAGACCAATGTTCTGGTGAGAGTGATGGTAAAGGAGAGTCTAAGCAACACTGGAGTGAGAGCATCAGATGACAGCTGATGGACTGAGGACTGAGCTTGGTATCTCCCTTAAGCCAGAATGCAGAAACTTTCAGAAGCAGAGGGGTGAGCAAATATTGTCAAGTAGAATGTGTCTGTATGGGGGGAAGGTAGTGGCCCTGGGAAAGGGAGAGACCTGGCGGTGCAGTAGCTTCAGCAGGTTGTAGGTGATGTGTTTTGTACACACCTGTTGGCAGCATATCAAGCAGTTCCTGCTGCTGTCCAAGAGGCGCACAGCTCTCATTACCCAGTGCCTGAAGGACTCGGAGACCAGCAAGCCTAATTTCATGCCGCGGCTCTATATTAACCGCCGCCTGGCCATGGAGCACCGAGACAACCCTGCCCTGGACCCCAGCTGCAAGAATGCTGTCTTCACCCAGGTAATGTCCCTCTTGGAAGGGTCCACACTGCTCTGGGGAGGGTGGGGCATCCCAAAATCAAAATGATCCACACAAATGTGGGTTGAAGAGCTGGAGATAAGTGGAGTCCTCAAAGCCTCTTCACATGACTCGTAGACTCTATAACTACACGTGCTGATGATCCCATATCCAGAAATAACATTGAGGATGTATTTGGGATCTCTGAGTTGACATCTGTGCTCTACCCTGGTTGCTTGCTGCAGCATGTTGTTACTGGAGAGTAACAATCTTGTTGCACTAAAAAGGCAGCAAAGGGTTCTTGTGTGACAACAGTTGTGCAGGTGCATACAGTCCTGTGTTGTGGTTTTACAGCTATGCAGATCCTCCTGTAGTCATTCTGCCCCCACCTCCAAATGATCTAGTGCTCTCTTTGTGCACAAACAGCCCAGACTGCTGTGGGGTTTAATGTGCTTGAGGTGCCTTTGACACCAGAAAGCTCCATGCAGTGGTAGCACTGCAATTTGTGTTCCCTTTCAAAAAACAAAGGGCTTCTAGACAATTTAGTCAGTATTTAATGGTTTTGGGCAAACCAGATTTCTTCCAATTTCCTGCCTTCACCTGGCATCATTTCCCCTGGAGAGGGGATACCAGCCTTGGTCTTCTTTGTTTGTTGCAGGTATATGAAGGCCTGAAACCCTCAGACAAGTTTGAAAAGCCTCTAGATTATAGGTAAGTGGTGTCTGGGGAAGGAGGGCATCATGCAGTGCTGGGAGCTATGTCACAGCAGGGTGTTTGGGAAGCCTGTGTGTGTCCTATGCTCTGGAGAGAGTTTGCTAGGGCAAGAGCCAGCTCAGCCATGGGATCAGGGCCTGTTCCCCAAGGTGTCACCCACCTACTGAGGATGCAGCTGTCTCTGGAGACTGAGATCTGGTCCTGTCCTAAGCACAGACTGCTCCACCCCAGTCCCCTGGTGTTCCTGCTGTGCCTGCTGCCTCCCCAGCACCTATTTGACTTTGAGCAGCACCTAAGGGAACATCTGTTTCTCCGCAGGTGGCCATTGCGTTATGACCAGTGGTGGGAGTGCAAATTCATCGCAGAGGGCATCATCGACCAAGGTAGGGGCTGCGGGAGGCAAGGGCTCCTCTGGAGCATTTGGTGGTGACTGTTGCTATAGGGGATCTTGTTTGCTCCCAGTGTTACTGTCCATGGAAGAGAGAGGGAAGGTAGGTTGCCTTGTCCTGCCACCTCTGGCCATGTCCCAGATAAGGAGTGCTGCTTGCTCTGGGATGGGGACCAGACTTCCATTAGTCACTAACAGCACCTTTCCTAGTGCCAATACTCCTTCTGGCTGTCCTCCACAGGCCATGCAGGGATATTTTTTCTCTCCTCTGGTGCCATAAGGCTCTGACAGGAGCGTTATGCTCAACCTGGGGCCAGGTTGGACCAGAATTCCTCATCTTTGCTCCATAACTCTGAGGGTCAGCACATGGGGAATTCACATCGCTAAAAATTACCTTCTTTTGGGGTTGCAGGTGGCGGTTTTCGGGACAGTCTGGCAGACATGTCAGAGGAGCTGTGTCCCAGCTCAGCAGACACCCCTGTGCCTCTGCCCTTCTTTGTGCGCACGTCCAACCAGGTGCGTGGGTTGGGGTATTTGGGGCAGACCCTTCTGTGCCTGGCAGTGCAGTGCTCTCCCTGTCCCCTTGCATGCCAGGGACATACCTACCTTCATTGGTCCGAGGCTTTTCTTTGTGAAAGGTTGCATAGATTGCTTTGTGGCATCTCATTCTGGGATATGCTGACAAGTGCCTAGACACTGGTCTCTCACTGGGAATATTGCCAAGGAGGATGGGGGAGTTTAGCCCACTTCTGCTGTGATAAGTGCCGAGAGACACTGCAGGAACTGTCTGTGGTGTTTCATGCTGTGCTGAGATCATGACTTGGAGTTTTGCCTCCCACTCCTGTAGGGCAATGGCACTGGAGAAGCCAGGGACATGTATGTCCCCAACCCCTCCTGTAAAGACTTCCCAAAGTACGAATGGATTGGGCAGATCATGGGAGCGGCTCTGAGGGGCAAGGAGTTTCTGGTAAGATTTCAACCCTGTCCCTATGAGGAGGTATGGCACAAAGGGAGTTGTTAGCCCCACTCCTGCAGCCTGTCTGACTGGAGAATGGGAAGGTTCTGTGGTCACACACTGGAACAAAAGGTGTTTGGCAGGGCTTGGGGCCAAGGGGTTTGGAGAACTCACAGCCTGAGTTTTGGGGGATGCTGCTGAGAGCTTGGTAGACAGTGTCTAGTCTCTACTCAGCTATGATGAGCACTGCAGGTGGGCAGGGGGATCAGAGAAGCTCCTTTGTGTCTGCATTGTTGAGCCCTCTCTCCATCTTTGGGTGTATCTCCTTGTCATACAGCAAAATCTCTGTTCTCCTTCAGGTCCTGGCTCTTCCTGGCTTCGTATGGAAACAATTAACAGGGGAGGAAGTTAGCTGGAGCAAAGACTTCCCTGCTGTGGACTCCGTGTTGGTGAGAGGGCTTGGGAAGCTTTGCTTATCCTTGTGGCACTCAGCAAGGCAGTGATTTGTGTCCCTGCCCTCACGTACTTGCTTCCTCTTGTGATATGTTAAAGAAACACACACAACAAAAAAGAACTTTTAGCTATAGGATGCATCAAATACTAACATAGAAATGCAACCATGCTGACTGCTGTTTCAAGCATGCAGTGCCCCAGAGTCTGGTTAAACAGCTCTAGGGCAGCATATCTCATGCTGTGTCACTGTCACTTGTCTGGAAAGGGAGGAGATGGGGACCTGGGCACATCACTGCTCATTGGGCATCTATGTAACAAGCACTTATCTGGGGCCTGGGCAGGTGAAGCTCCTGGAGGTGATGGAAGTCATGGACAAAGATACCTTTGAGTTCAAATTTGGGAATGAGCTGACCTACACAACAGTGCTAAGTGACCAGCGCATGGTGGAGCTGATCCCCAATGGCAGCAACACTGTGGTGCGCTATGAGGACCGCAGGGAGTTCATCCGCCTGGTGCAAAAGGCTCGGCTGGAGGAAAGCAAGGAGCAGGTAACACTATCCATAGCATCAGTGGTCATCAAGTTCTCAGAGCGACCCCCCCAGTCTGTGTGTGGTAAAATGTACCATGGTTAGCATCGCTGTGCTCATTCGTGCAATGGTAGCCAACCCTTTTTGGCGAGATCTTGGAGCCTATGGAGTCATTGAGAAGCAAAGTCCCTTGTAGCAGAATGGGAGATAAGGGGTTTTATTCCCAGCTCTGACACAGGCTTCCTGAATGAACTGGGTTCCATCTCTCTGGGATCACCTTTAGGTTCCTTGGAACGTTTGCTGAGCAATCACCTTTAGGTTCCTTGGAACATTTGCTGAGCAATCACATGGCTTGCATCCAGTTGAGTCCCTAGGCTCAACCACAAGTCAGGGAAATGCACCAGATGTGCTGCTTACCTGTCCTGTCTCCTTTTCAGATCATGGCCATGCAGGCTGGGCTGCTCAAGGTGGTGCCCCAAGCTGTTCTTGACCTGCTTACCTGGCAGGAACTGGAAAAAAAGGTCTGTGGAGATCCTGAAGTCACAGTTGATGCCCTGAAGAAGCTCAGTAAGTGATGGGCTCTGCTGAAAACTCTTTTTCTGGAAATAAGAAAAGCTCAGTCTTTTGTCTGAGCTGGGACAAGGAGAGGTGTGGGAGGCTGGTATTAGCCTTTATTACAGTGAGAACATGGGCCTGTGTACTTCATACCTTTATCCAGGGCCAGGGGTATCCCTTGACTCCAATGCTGGGCCTCAGAGTCTGGGGCATCCCTAGGTTGCCAGTATCTGAGCCCCTGTGGAGCTGAGATGTGGATCTGGATGTGCTTCCTGAGAGGGGCCTGACTGCATGTGTCCCTCACACCTTGGGTTTACGTGCTTACACCCTGCAGGCACCCAGAAGTTTCTTCCTGTACTGGCAAAGGAGGAGCAGCTTGGATCTTTATTAAACTCCTTTTCTATATCCTTTTTGCCAGCCCGGTTTGAGGACTTTGAGCCACTGGACACCCGTGTTCAGTACTTCTGGGAAGCACTCAACAACTTCACCAACGGTGAGAGATTTGCTCTGTCCCTGCATATCTTGGGCCATGACAGCTCCTGCATGATGGCTGGGAACTGGGAGGGTGAAACCACCCTCATTGCTGCCTGGGGAGCACACGGGAGTCATGGAGAGCAAGCAGCTGGGCTGAAGGAACTGTTTGCTAGTGCTGGGCGTACCAGGAAATGGCTGTACTCCATGTCACAGCCCTGTAGGCTACGATCCTTTGCTTTTTCTTTATAGAGGATCGTAGCCGCTTCCTCAGATTTGTCACTGGCAGAAGCCGCCTTCCAGCACGGATCTACATCTATCCAGACAAGATGGGGTGAGTTCATTCTTCAGTAGACTGCAAGGCTGACAGATCCCATACCAAATGGATGTGTGGTCTGATCTCCCCTGCCTCGCTGACCTGCTGGTTCTAACCAGTTTGTCACCTTCTCCCCAAGCTCTGCGACGACAGATGCTTTGCCAGAGTCATCCACCTGTTCAAGCACTCTCTTCTTGCCCAACTATGCCACGTAAGTTTAGGTGCTTCCCTGCATCTGGGGGACTGTGTTTGGGCTCTCTTCTAAACCTCTATGCTGACCCGTAGGGCCCCATTGCTTTACCACACTTAGTCCTTTCCCCTGTCCCACGTGGCTGCTGTGATTCTCTGTGAGCAGCTGGTGAAGCGTATCCTCCATCTCAGAAAGCATCTTGTACTCTCAGCAGACAAATGCAGCAGTGGCAACTCTCCCTTATCTCTACTTTTTTTTCCCCTCCTGCCATCCCTAGAGCCAAGGTATGTGAAGAGAAGTTGCGCTATGCTGCCTATAACTGCGTGGCCATTGACACAGATATGAGTCCATGGGAAGAGTGATGTTGCAGCCAGACCAAGCAGCATGGACAGTTGCTCAAGAAAACTGTGCAGTGGGAAGAGCTCCCTTGTCCATCCAGGATGTGTATATAATAAACAAATAGGTGTGAAGCCTGGCTCCCAGCAGTGGACATGGAGGTTTGGGTCTTCAGCAGGGTGGGAGCTGGCTTGGAGTGTAAATGTGATTGCAACAATGAAACCCTGGGCCAGTCTTCATGTATCAGGAAGTTCTGGGAGACTTTTGTAATGAGTTTCTTCTCCAGGTGTCCCTGTTGTACCTCCACAATGCTCACTTCTTCCAGGCTGCACTCTGTTCCAAACAGAAGTGGGGTAGGGATGCGAAGCTGCATCCCAGGTTACGGCACAGGACAGGGCACTGTGAGCTAATGCTGAGCCACGAGGAGGCTCAGAAATTCTCGGTGTGTGTCCTGACCACAATCCTTGTTGCCTTGTTCCTGCTCTCACCAGAGGTCAGTGGAAATGAGATCATTCCTCTAGGATTAAGGAGAAATGGGGCAAGCTGGGGGAGGGTGCTGCAGAGGTGCCTTTGGCCACCAGGTGTCACGGCAGGACTCTGGGTGCTTCAGAAGGGACTCTCCTGCTTTTACAGCGCACAAAATCCGAGTTCCTGTGACCACCCATGGTTCTTTGCATCCGTTGCACGGCAGTGACTGCTGAGGGAGCTACTCCACCACAGGAGGTGGAAACTGTCTACTTCCCTTTTGCTCCATTACATTCAGTTCTGCATCCATGGTGGCCTGGCAGCTGTTGTCCCAGGCTCTTTGAGCCTTGGTTTTTCCCTAAAGGTCAGTATTACAACTAATCTAGTTCTCATGGAGATGTGCAGGTTAGGGCCAAGCTCTTCTCCCAGACAGCAGGATTTAAGAGCAGTAGCAGGCACTGCAGCACCGGGCTCTGCTCCCCTTGGCTGTGGGAAGGGAGGTGGAGGTTTCAGGTGAATAGGGAAAGCCTTTGCCCCGGGAGAGTGAAGAAGCTGTGGATACCAAGGGTTGGAGCTCCTTGAGCAGATGGACACGCGATGTGTGAGTGAGAAATGGGCAAGGAATCCTTTACAACTTCAAGACCACTGGAAACATTCCTTGATCTTCCCAGCCCTGGGCAGGGCTAGTCATTGCCTAGCACTGTGAGCTACCAGATGTCATTCTATGTTTATACTCCCAGCTCTATCTTCAGCCTGTGTGGTCTGTTGGACCACCACTACTAAAAGCCACAGAGTCACTGGAGCTGTGCTGGAGTTGGGCTGATGCTGTGAGTTAAGATTTATCCCGTCTTAATGTTTCATGCCTTTTTCTCCTCTGTTGAAGGAGTCTGTCATCCAGAAGTCACTTCCAGTTGTAAACGAAGTCCTTCCCTTCACCAGTTTCCTTTGAAACTGCTGTATTCCCAGATCTGCTGAGCGGGGTTGTGCTAAAAGGGGTGTAGGACCAGGAGAGAGCATGTGCTGCCATCTCCTGCATCGTGGTGAGTGGAGGGAGTATAGGGTGAATGGGAAAGCTGTTTCTGGCAGCTCTTGCCTGCAGCAGGGCCTTCCATGCTCATCTGGGTGAGTGAGAAGTCCTGTCTGTTGGAAGAGGTTTTTGTAACTCCTAGAGTCATCTCAGAATTGATCTCTAGCTTTGCAGCTGATTCCAACAATCAGCATGGAAAGGAGCAGAGCCAGTGCAACACCTTCCCGTGCTGGTGGCTGAGTCACGTCCTAGGGTGTCTGTTTTAAATGGGCATGAGCAAGCTAGTGAAAGGACTTTGATCTGCTGGCTTGGCCTCAGTCAGGAGTGTTAGGGAAGGAGCCTGCAGCAGTGAGCTGGGATTTGAAATGAACCTTCTTAGATCTCAAAGCAACTGACATGTGGGGGGAATCGATCCTGCCCTTTGCAGCCTTGCCCACTTGTCTCTGAGGGAGATCAGCAGGAGGTCACATTATTTACTGAGCAGAACTAGAAGCAGCAATAAAAATTGACTTCTCTGGTGCTTTATTGCTGGGCAGGGGATAGTTGGTTCATAAGTGACTCAGGGTGGGATGGGTAAGATGGCCCTAGTCTTTGGTGAAGGGTGATCTGATATCATCTGTGGGAATGGGCAGGTTAGGAGCCAGGTATCTGCTTGGGGTGACCAGCTGTGGGGGAGCAGGAACCTCTGGCTCCCTTGCCCTTGGTGGGAGCAACTGCAGCTGATGGAGGATAACTGAGGTCATTAGGGAGGTGTACCCGAAAGAGTTCAGGTTTGTCACTGAGAGATGAAGCATTTAGACAACTCTATTCCCTCTCATCAGCCATGTACACAGCCCCAGCCTTCTGTGATGAGGGGAGAGTTCCCACGCAGGGTGATGCTGAGAGCAGAGCTTGGCTGAAGTGGTGGGATCCTTCTCTAGAAGCATTGTGGCACCTCCCATCTTTGGAGAAGCTCAAGACTTGTCTTACTGTGCTGGGCAATCTGATCTAACTTCCAGTCTCATTCTTCTGGCTTTAGGTTTAGGCCTGCCCTAACCCAAAGCACTTGATGACTGTGGAGTTACTAACTCTAGCTTTTCACACATTTCTTTACTCTTCCTTCCAGCAAGATCTTTTAGCCTCAGACCTCTTATTTCCTGCCACTGAGTGCTGCCCAGAGGCTTGCTGGAGCTCTGGGGAAAGGATCTATTTGGTGACAGGGATTACTGTTTAAAAAATACTTGTAGTAACAGGACCATGGCCCTAGCAGAAAAGGGTTCAGTCAGGGTGGTCCGTGTTTAACCCCTACAAGCATATTGAGGAAAATATTGTTTTACCATATAAACCATTGGTTTGCTGTCTATTTTGTGTTATTGCCGTATACACGTTGGAGAATGGCAGCAGCTGCTGCTGTAGTATTATACTGAGGTGGGGAGATCTGTAAATGCCCTTCCAATAGCAGGAAGAGCCCATCACAGCAGTGAGGTCTCAGGTGAGATTGTTTGGTGCATGGTCAGAGGATCTAGACAAACATGGCTGCTGAGGAAAGATGCCATGATAATTCACAGATTATGCCGTTGAGTTTACTCTGCAGAGGTGAGCTGTGAGGGGGGAGCTGGTAACCTGCCTGGATCTCCTCTGCATGGTCCTCTCTCATCTGCAGTGTTTTAAAGTCAATCACAAATTGAATATCTGCTGTGACAACCCAGCGAGTTGTGGAAAAGTTCAGCCTGGCTCAACTCTGGCCAATCTCAAGGGCCAAATGGAGGTATTATTTCAGTGCTGGGTCATGCTACTTACTTCTCTAATCTCTAAAGCCGTGAGTAGGAACTGTCTCCTAACATGTTTCACATGACAAAAGTCAAGTACCCCTGCCCTGGACTCCTGCTGCGTGTGGCCTGGGCTGAGGGAGCCCTCCTGGGCACTAGGAACCAGAGGCTGTGCATCCTCACCCCATCAACCAGTCTCAAGTCAATGGAAATTGATTTTCAAGGCAGTGCCATCCTGAGGAAGGTGCTGGTGCCCCTGTGCTGCTAAGAAGAGGAACATCTCTATGTGCCAGAGCTGCAGCTCTACAGGGTGGGTAGGGCTAAGCTAGGGAGAGGACAAATGCCATCACAGCTCCTGTAACCATTCACTCCCTCCTGCCTTCAACGTGCTGAATTGTCATAGAATAGCTTCAGGTGATTAATAACGCACATGTAGTACAGCTGCTGTTGTTATTCCACTAATACCCTGGAGTATGACAAACAATAAGTAGTTTGACAGGTTCTGTCTGTCCCTACCTCATGCTGCATCTAAAATAAAATGAACAAACTAACTGCTCCTGGCCTTCCTGC